GCATGCGCTAGCCACCGACAGGTAAAGGACACGCAGGGCCATCCCATCACGTGCGGCCAATGCTTGATCGCTCATCATCACCATGGCGTGCCATTTCCCTTAACGCTTTGCTGCCACAGCGTGTGGACTCTCAATAATTTAATATGCATATCATCATTAGTGGTTTAAATGTGGGCATAACCTCCACCTCCTAACATCTATAACTGTTTCTATTTGAGACCAATAATTCTTTGATATATATTTTTTTTGAATTTTTTGTCATAAGTCAGGTTCGAAACCCGCCTAAGGAAGGGGGATATGCACTTTTTCAATGACATTATTGACCACAAAGGTCAAGTGCAATTATTTGATATATATTATTTGTGTTTTAATATATAAATTTTATGTTATTACTTTAATTAGTTTAAAATAAATAAAATTTCATTATACGAGTCACATGATCGTTTTTATTTTATCATCCAATTCTTCTTAGTGTTATGCTAACATAATAGATAGGATAACAGAGTTAAGACAAACATGTGATTAATGTGATGAGATTTTATTTATTTTAGATCAATTATGATAATAAATTGAAATTTATGAATTAAAATGCACAAAATATATATATTAAGGAACCAATGATCTCAAAGACAAATAATTAGAGTTGTTCCGGGGTTTAAACCTTAAATTTGGTTCAACTCGAATTTTGGGCATGGTCCTCAACTTTAGTACATGCTCTTGATTTGGTTTCTAAATTTTAAATACTGATTTTCTTTGTCTCAAAATGAGGATTTTATTTAGTTTGGGAACCAAATTAAGGGTTTCGTACAAAAGTTTAAAAACCAAAATTGAGATTTAAGCTAATGACAATTTTGTGATTAAATAAGTTTTTAAAACTAATATGAATAATGAATTTTATCCACATCAACAACTTTTGTTATGTGAAATTTCCACGTCATTAGTTAATTTGAAGGAAAAAAAGCAAGTTTTAACCATGTAAATTAACATGCCATGTAAACTAAAATTTAACGACAATATGACAGAAAATGAGATTTATTTAGTTTAAGAACTAAATGAAAAGTCCATACCAAAGTAGAGAGACACAAATTGAGGTTTAACCTTTAAATATTTATTATGTACCCTGCATCCATTTTTATAATAAACAATTATGTATATATTTTTAAAATGCAATACATAAAGTTATATAAAAACATTCGATTATAAATTTATTTAATCTTAATTATTTAATATAAAAACTTGAATTATCAAAATTTAAATAAATAATTAATATGCATAAGCAAATAGTACTAACTTTTTTTTTTAAACAATTTTACAAAAAATCAGATTCGAACCGTTACTAGACGAAAATGCATTTAATAGTGGCTTGAAGCCATTGAGCCCGAAAACCCAAATGCTAGTAATAACTCAATTTTTTTTTTAACATTCTTGAGAATAGATACTAACCCAATTTGAATTTATATAAACAGAAAGAAAACAAATTAACGCAACAAACGTACAACCTGACATCTTTCCCAGCTATTTCTCAATTATTTTTCTAACTACCAAATAATTGAAAAGGTTATACACATGTGGACACAGAGAAAGAACAAAATTAGCCATTTAGTTGAGGCTCAAGTCTCTTATCCAGGGCCAAGGTTTATGGGGTTTCCCTGACCCGGCATGCATCCTCATCCATCGACAGCTACAAAGGATGGTCGAGCCAAAGATCAATATTGGACCTCAAAGATTAACCCTATTCCACAAATTTGGTCTGCAACCATATATCAGGGTACACACATACAATTAATTTTGTTGTCAGTTGTCACACATTTTGTGGGGCATTTTTGTTGATAATAATAGGTACGTGACAGTGGTTATGGATTGTTGGTGAGAGGCATGTGGCATGTATACATATCTTTTGCCCACGCACGTACGCGTGATATTGAGCCGATGATAGCTACAGTTCTTTTTTATTAATTCGACTTTAAATAGATGCTTCATTAATGGTCGACGCACAGCAAAAAAAATGGGTCATCCTATTAATGACTATATAAATATATATACTCTTTTTTTCATGAATAGCAGTATATATATATATATAATTTATTAGGAAGAAAAGAAATTAAGGTCTTTTTTTTGTGTACTTCTAACACTATTTTTTTTTTTCTTGAATATAAAGAATATGAGAAAAGAGGTTGAGTTTACAAGAATTAAAATCAAAGCTATAATTTTGGTATATTTACACCTTATCTAATATAACAAGTGTTACGGTTGCACTTTTAACACTATTTATTTTAAAAATATAATTGAGTTGTGATATATATCAATTGAAATATTATTTATATTTTAAAAAAACAAAGAAAAAACCAATATGTTTTTATATTTAAAATGTTAATATATA